GTATTGTTTGATGGTGATTTTAATGATTTTGTTGTTGTCGTTGTTTAAATGATCAGCTTATAGAATGAATTATTATCAGACACAAATAACATAATTATTAATTCACAGAAATAATATTTTAATTTTTTTATATTATCAATTATACGAATCTTGTTAAAAATCTCAACTGGTTTGATAAGCGAATAAAAGAATTGTGAATAATTATCGTGAAAGGAATTGTAAAATTCTCTTTCTTTTAATGTCTGGGGTTGAACTTTTTTTTAAATATAATTTTAAAAATAAACACCACATTGTTCCCAAACCGGACAGACATATACGACAACATATAGGTATATATAAATAAACACATTAGATCCAACAAACAAGTACAAAATAACAAACACATACAAACACATACGAGCGAACGAGCAAACACATAACAATATAAATGCTAGGAAAAGGCTTAAAGACTTGATTGGAAAGTGCATTATATGGCATGGATAGCTCGGGCGCTATGGACGAATTAACAACAGATGTGCCTGCATGATGAGAAGAAAAGAATAATCCACTCTCTCCCTCTCTCTCTTTTTCTCTTTCTTTTTGTCTGTGTGTGTGTATATAAATACAGAGTGTTTGTTTGTTTGTGAATAGTATATATGTAATTAACCGTGCTCGTATTATAAATGGATTTTATAAAAAAATAAGCTTTGGTTTTTTGAAAAAAATCTTGTTAAACAAATGAAATAAACTTATGTAGGTAAGCACACACACGTAAACACGCACACACACGCACACAAGTATATAAAACAAATATGTATACATAAACATACACACACGTGTGTATACACATGTGTTTATAAATGTATGGAGCTAATTGCAACGTGCATTTGTTGATTGAGACATTCAAGTGTGACTTAACTGGCGATTAACTGGACAATACTGCCCGTCCCTCATGATGGCGGTGATGATGATGAAGAAGAAAAAAACGACGAAGATGATGGTGATGATCTTGATGTCGGTGATGATAATGATGATGATGCTGATGATGATAGTGGTGATGATGACTATGTGGTGATGATAATAAATGTGGTGATGATAATGATGAAAATGGAACACACACACACCACACACACACGCACACATTTATATTTATGAGTTAGAATTAATTCTTCATGTACACTTGTGAGATTGTTTATGTGTAATAATAATTATACCTCTTCCATAAGCACACACATATATTAATACATACATACACACACACACAAACACACACATATATGCATACACACACAAATACATACACAAACACATACACATGCATATATACATACAGACAAACAAACATACAAACAAACATACACACATGTGGCGATGAAAATGATTAGAAAATAAAATAATAATCCACATCATCAAACGTTCACATTCGCATCCACTCTACACCCACTCGTCATTCTGTCTGATTGTTTGTTGGTAACTGTGAACACACATAAACATATTAATGAAGAAATATCCATGACAACCATACACACACACACCACACACACAAAAACTACACAAACACCACACGCACGCACACACACAAAAACCACACAAAAACCACACACATACATACATACATACATACATACATACATACAAAGCAACAACGTTGATTGAATAAATAAGACGTCTTGGTGCCTTCTAATTGGTCGATTGAAATATAAAACCACCCACTCCCACTCTCATCACTGGTTTCATCATCTTCGTCATCATCATCTTCATCGTCATCATCTTCATCATCATCTCCATTGTCATCTTCATCCTTGTCTTCATCATTACCATCATCATCTTTACTACCATAAACTTCTTTATCATCATCTTCTTCTTCTTCATCACCATCATCATCATCATCACCACCATCATCTACTTCATCACCACCATAATCATATTCATCATCATCGTTATTTTTGTCGTCTCAAAATTATCAAATAAAATTTTTGTCGTAATTTCTAATAACAACTTATTGAAAACTTATACACAATAACACACATACACACGGACACAAACATGTACACACATACACACACACACACACACACACACACACAAACAAACAATATATAACTATATATCTAAGAGTTTATTTATATGTTATGCAACTGCACGTGATTTACTGCCTATGTATGTGTATGTGTGTGTATATGTGTGTATGTGTGTATATGTGTGTATGTATGTGTATGCGTGTGTATGCGTGTGTATGTGTGTGTATGCGTGTGTATGCGTGTATGTGTGTGTATGCGTGTGTATGTGTGTTTATGGCTTTATCTGTTAACCGTACATGTCAATACATTAATTTCATTGATGTGTATCTCAAAATTCTTTGTGGTATTAATTTCTTTGTTATAATCGTAATTACCAGCATCATCATCGTCATCATCGTCATCATCTTCATCATCATCACCATCACCATTATTGTCGTCATCATCATCGTCGTTCTCGTATCACTATCACCACCACTAATATCATTATCATAATTGATATCATTCAATCATCACCATCCTCATCATCATCGTCATCATCTTCATCGTCATCATCTTCATCGTCATCATCATCATCACGGTCATTTAATCAATCAGCAATGGCCTGCTTCCTGATTCAGCAGCACATTGTGTGTGGTGTGGTGATGATGACTATGATGATGATGATGTTGTTGTGCTGATGATGAGGATGTTGATGTGATGATAATGATGTGATGATGACGATGATGTTGTTCTTGTTGTAATGATGATGATGTTGATGATGATGTTGATGTGACGATAATGATGTGATGATGACGATGATGTTGTTGTTGTAATGATGATGATGATGATGTTGATGATGATGTTGATGATGATGATGAGGATGATAACGATGTTGATGAAGTTGATGATGATGATGAGGAGGATGATAACGATGATGATGATGTTGATGATAGCTTTTGTTTTCAGTTTGGCTTCTCTATTTTGTAATGGATAATTGTTGATAACATAAAACATATAACATATATATTTACGGTACAGTACACTTTAAACATACAAATGTATTTATCTATTTCTCTCTCTCTCTCTCTCTCTCTTTCTCTTTCTCTCTCACTCCACTCACTCACTTTCTTTCACTTCATCTCTTCCGGTCACTTGTAATCTTTACTTTTTCAAAATCTTTAAGTACCTATGCATGCATGTGTTTCTTTCGTTCGTGTGCATGTTTGTGTGGTGCTTATGATTTGCAGTAAAGATCCCACACGTCCGTTGTACATGCATGCATGTGTGTATGTGCACATTTTTCAAGGGTGTAGTATTTCATCGTTGCATTAAACTTGCTGTTATAACATCTGTTATATAACATAAAATTGTTCCATATAACATTATATGGAACAATTTTTCAGAATTGCGCGTTGAAACTTTAGGAGTTTTTTTTTTGTCTCACGTATGTTACTAACGCACGTACATACATACATTGTACACTTATATGCAAAAATACATTGTACACTTGAATACAGACATACATACATTGTACACTTACGTACAATCAGTTTTACAAAAATCCCAAGAAATAGAGCACGTATATACCTACAAAGCAGATAGGTGAATGTGTCGTCCTATGATCAGAATATCACACTACATTCGTATCATTCATATAACCAGTCTGATATTTTATGATAACTCAATTCAAATAATGCCTTGCCAGCCTGGTTTGTGCCAATATCATCATTTTCATCATTTCTAACACTCACATAACATCTGTAATAAACTGCAATTATAAAGTTTCACACCACACCAATTAAGCAAAACTGAAAAAGACGCATATAATAATCACGGAGCATGCACAAGCACGAAAACAAACAGCAACACAAACACAGACCAGTACAAAAACACAGACCAGCACGAAGACACACAAAGACACACCAGCACAAACATAAGATTTCGTGATCGTGTTATATTCCTCCAGCATAATCACATAATCAGTTTCTGAAGACAGCAAACAAACATCTTCCATGAATTCTTTTCATCTTCTATTTGCCCACTTGAAACTTTATATTCAATCAACTATTTATTATCAACTTTCTCCTTAGTTCAACGCGCTTATGTGTGCACTCCTTGTCTTCTTGTGTGTTTGTTTGTTTGTCTGCATGTCTCTTTGTCACTGTGTGTGCACTGCACATTTATGCAAAAGCACATTATTTGTGTACTGTTTATATTTGTATATGCGTGTGCGTGTTGTATGAACATACAGGAAGATGCGTGTGAATGACGCAAACATATATTATTATTATTTTACCTCTGTACAGTTGTACATGTGTATTTATATAAAAGTGCATTTTTGGTTATTAATGCATGTCTACATTTAATTTGTTCTATTTAGATTGTCCTTTTGTTCATGCAAAACATTTCAAATGAATACCATATTGGATATGTTTACTGTTCGCATGTCTGTTTGTATGTTTGTTTGCAAGATTTGTTTGCAGGATGTGATTGTTTGCATGCTTCTTAGACATTTGTTTGTGTGTTATGTTGATGTTCATCCGTTTGCGTCTGTGTGTTCACGTAGGTATGTATAAACATGTCTCATTTTGATAATTTTGTTAAATTCAACCGATCAATTGACGCATAATCATAATAAACAAATTTATTTATTCATTTATATAAGTTTTTTCATTGTTACGAAAGAGTTTTGGGGTTCAACATTCTTTTGATATTTGTTAGCGGTCAAGAATTAAAAATTAAAATTTACTGCAAAAATTTTTCTACAACATACAACACACAAACGCTTCAATAGTGATTGACAGTTATCAAAAATTTTCTACAAAATCAAAGTAACTCTCCCCGTCGGGGAATTGAACCCCGGTCTCCCGCGTGACAGGCGGGGATACTTACCACTATACTAACGAGGACTTGAAAGCTTTTACATTACGTTTAAAATCATGCTTAAATACAATATTTATCTGATGCTAGGTTTTGATCATCAGTGAGAATGCAAGAAGTTACATTTTTGTTAGAATATAATGTTTGTTGTATGTTTGATTGCGTGTATTAAGCTAGTTTGTATTTTTGTCTGTACATTTGTATGTTTAAAAATTTTTTTATTTTGTTCGATGTTTATTTATTTGAATGTTCACATTTAAGTTCGTCAATTTATTTTTATATATATAACATGTGCCCATGTTCATGCAATCGTTTTTGTTACAATGTAATCGTTACGCTGCTCTGGTTGCAAACAATTGAAATAACTTTTTGGTTGAATAGCGATCTACTTCGTTTATTGAAACATTTAAACTTGGTTTATGTTATATTTGTAAAAAATTGGAATATGTGGATTAAAAAATTAATATTGT